AAATTTACTAAATATCTTCATGGAACATGAATCTTTACTTAATACCCTAATGATTTTTGGCATAAAAGAAAAATCGATAATTTTGACCCATACAATGTTTTTTTGGCTATTGCTACAAATATACCCCAGCGACTTAAGACTGGTTTTGTGCTCCAGGGTCACATATTTTTGTAAAGTCAAGTTAACTCATGTGAGCATGCATGGTTCTATTCCTGACATGGTCTTTCTTCTCAGTCAAGCTCCTGTCACTTATTTTTTGAGGGTTTTTTATTGCTTTGTGATAAGCAAGAAAATACAGATCAATGCTGTACTTTCTGCTGAAGTGGTTTTCAAAAAATAGCATTTTACTTTTAATTAGCATAGTTCAGAAATAAATAGTTCAGGGATGCAAAATCTCCTAACAATGACGTCTGGACTGAGCTGGAACCGCTCGTGTTATAGAGCTATTGATTTGCTAATTGTGCTCCATCTCAGTTCTTTGTTCCTGTGGGTTGTGCTTAACCTACATGACTCTCTGAATTTCGCAGGACTGCAGCTTGTTAAAATGAAATTCCTACACCTAACGTCTGAGAATGCATTGACTCGCAGTGCCCCTCTGGAAAAGGGTTTCTATCTAACTTTGTAAAAAACTTGCATTTCTTCTTTTATCTCCGTCCAAAATATGTGACATTCTTGGCAACAATACGGTGACTGGCGACCTCCTTGATATTTGGTACAGATGACTTTGATAGTTGAGAGTACGGAGGATCTCCAGGGACTCTGGCGGGCCGAGGCATCCATAGAGCTCGCGACAGGTTGTCTCATTTCTGGATCTGTAGGGTGCCGCTGTGGTCCACGGGGTCGTCTCGACATGTCTGTTATTCTCTCAACACCTGGGATTATGCAGTGTCTCTTTGAGTCTTAAAGGATTTGGGCAAATCAGAAAGGGCATGTCCAGCAAGACTGAACTGAAGCCCAGCTATGGATTCAGATAAGCCGACTTACTCCATGGATGGTGCAACTGTTCTTGGTGCAGTGAAACAGCTGCTGTCCCTGAGCTATAGCTTCATGTTGGCTGCTTTCGTGCTGATCTCAGCACAGCTCCTGGCACCCTCTGTCTGATGGTTCCCTGGTGTGGGCGCTATGAATAGCTCTCTACCCCTCTCCATTTCCTCCTGTGTCCTGGCAACACTGATCCGCTGGCTGTCGGGTGCTGCAACACTGAAGCTGACAAAGCAAGGAGTGCAGAACTATCCGGAAAGCCAGATGTGAATGTGGGTCTGAGCATAAGTGTGTCCAATTGTAAAAGGGAGAGAAATACAGAAAGCAAAATATGTAGATTTAAATACGTAACTTTTGAAAATGTATATTGTACTTCAGGAAAATGTTCTGGTCAAGCTTAAGATGCATAACAGGATGGAAATGAAAAGCAAAAGTTTGCAGTTGCTCAGTGAGGGATTGACAGTTAGTTTACACTTGAAGTTCATAACTTCTTAATAAATTTGAATAATATTCAGAAATCAGTATGCCATTGTCTAAGGGTGTATTCACACCAGGAAAGTCCGCTCGTTCACTTGCTTTGGTCCGGACCAAATACAGTGTTGATTTTTTTTTGTTTGGTGTGGTTCGCTTTCACACTGCCCTTTTTGTAAGTGAACTAGAAATTGTAAACAAAACCACACGTGTGCTAAGGTCATCCATTCATTGGACAGAAATTCTCAAGCGTACCAGAGTTCGTTTGGAAGCGGACCAAGACCACCTCTTCAGCTGGGTCTCAGTGTGGTTGTTTGGTCCACACCCGAGTGCGATTGCTGTATTCACACTTGCCCAAAAGATCCACACCAAGGGGGGAAACGAACTTGAGTTCGATTCAATCGAACCAAACAAGACAGGCGTGAATCAACCCAGAAATATATTGTGTTATACTGTATATATATTCCTGTGATGCAAACCTGAATTTTTAACAGTCAATACTCCAGTTTTTAGTGTCATATGATCCTTCAGAAATCATTCCACTATGCTGTGCATATACATACATGCATACATACATGCATGCATGTGTATATACAGTATATATATATATATATATATATATATATATATATATATATACACACACACACACACACACCGATGAGCCATTACATTATGACGGCCTACTTAATAACCTGTAGGACCACCTTTAGCCCACAAAGGATTGATTTATTCTTCCATACCATACTTGTATTATTTGAAGTACCTTTGAGTGCCATGTAAATACCATGATAATGAATATAGCAATCACTGTATATAATCAAAGTACATGGTATTACTATATGATACTGTACTATATGATCACTGTACCATAGTACCGCCACTCTACAGTTTTGTGAGAGAAGGCAGTAAACACATGGCAAGCTTATGTTGAAAACCCTCATACCTTTCTTTTCCAGCTTTTAAAGCTGTCATATTCACACACAATGAGGGCAAAGTTCAGAAAGCCCCGTTGCCTCTTGCCGCTATCATTCAAATTTGGGTCAGTATGTTATCTGTCTGAGACGAAAAACAAAAACGAAATGGTGAATAAAAAGACCTCTATCCTCAGTTTAAAATCAATTCCAAAGCAATCGGATTAAAATGCCCGTCGTCTTTTCATCCACAATAGCTGCGCTTCACAAGCACATTGAAGAGCAGGTGGAGGCAGCATCCAAGCCAATTCATTTGCACAATGCAGAGTCTCACTTGCGTTGATGAGCCATTGTCTTGGTTACAAGGGAATATAAAAAAACCAAAAAAAAAACCGTCCGTAACTGGCAGAAATGGTCACTGTGATTCTTTAGCGCCTAAATGCTTCATACGCATGTTAATACACACATACCCATGTACATACCGCTCTACCTCACTGTTTACTGTGATTTCACCTCATTTGAGTGCAGAGTGCAGCACTTTACAGATTATTATTTAGGCAATTATCCAAAAGTTGTGAGTGTAAATAGCACACCTAAAAGCTAACTACTAGCTGTTTAAATTTTCCATTTTCCATGTTTTAAAACCTAGTGATTTTCAGCATCATTACTCCAGTCTTCAGTATCACATGATCTTTCAGAAATCATTCTAATATGCTGATTCAGTGCTCATGGATTATTATTTCTTATTATTATCAATGTTGAAAACAGTTGTGCTGCTTAATATCTTTGTGGAAACCATGATAGTTTTTTTTAGGATTCTTTGATAAATTGTTCAAAAGAACAGCATTTATTTAAAATACATTGTTTTTGAAAAATGTAAAATCTTTACTGTCAATTTTGATCAGTTTAATGCATCTTTGCTGAATAAAGCAAAGATTTTTTTTCAAAAAAATATTACTGGCATTAAAAAGTAAATAGTATTCATGAAACAGTACTATTTTGTTTACAGTAATATCTTACTAAATGTGTTTGTATGCTGTATATGTATTTTTATGTTTATTGGTTACTGTAAAGCTGCTATTTTTGCATAGGAATGAGTCTTAATACTTCTCTGAGGTTTTACCTCAGAATTTTCTGAATTTCCGCCTTTTGAGGATGGTATGCAACACTACCAATGATAATTTAGTCAGTTACCCAAAATGTTGTAACTTAGTGTAAATAACATGCATTGTAATTAAAAGCTCATTGCTGCCTATTTAACTCGTCTTGTCCAATAAGAAGTTTAAATCAAGGGTTCTTCATTTGTCTTGTAAAAGATCTTGTTTATGTTCAAGGTAGTCTTCTGTTCATAATTAACAGCTTAATTCCATTGTGGTGTTTCACACTATGGCTCTTAGCAAGTTCTGTCATTACATATAGCGTTTGTTGGGAGGTCTTGAGGGAGAGAATGAAAGTGTATTTTATGCTCCATTTACCGTTTAATGAGTGATTCTGTCAACTTTTCTCCATGCATGATGGACTTTTTTCTCCATGCTGGTATCTGAACTATGTAGTTAGCTAAAATACCTATACATCATTTGGATGTTAAAAGGTTGAACTGGCAACAGTGGTACACAATCTATATGTAACTAATGAGTATTCCCAGACACGAAACACACAAATGACGATCTTCAACCAATACCTACTATGGGCCAGAACCCAAACCAAATTCTGCTAGTCTTGGTTTAGATGGCTTTTTTTTTCTTTTTTTTTTTTTTTAAAGATATTTATATTCAGTATTTGTTTCAAATTACACAACAAACACCAATTAAGACCTCAGACACAATTTGACTTTGCTCCTGTGCTGTGTTCTCTATCTGTGGGGACAATATTGGAGGCTTGTATCTGTTCATTATCTCGTTTCTCTCTCCACCAATCCTCCCTCTCTTTTGCTATGCTCCTCAGTCACACATTACAGCTCTTTCTTTGAAGAATGGAGACTATTTATTGCTCACTTTTAGCTTAAAAAGCTGCTCATGCTTTTCTTTCGTTGTTTTATTTTTTGGTTCTGTGCCAGCACTTATACTTAAATTTATATCTATTACCTACCTTGCCAATCTTTTTCTTAAAAAAAACAAAAACTAACCGAATCTGGAGACCAGATTACAAACCAAACGCGTGGCTTTTGGTTGAGTGTCACTTAAAGTGTTTAAGTGATAGTTTACCTAAAAAATACATTTCAATTAATTTTCAGTTGTAATGTGAAATTAAATAAATAAAATAATAATAAATAATAATAATAATAATAATAATTATATATATATTTTTTTTCTTAAATGTTTTTTTTTTTTTTTTTACAAAGAAATATAATAATAGTAATAGTTCTTATTTTGTTTTTGAGTATTTTTATAGTTTATTATTATTATTATTATTATTATATAATCACAAAATTTTGGCTAAATCATACAAACCCTATAAACAAGCACAGCAAACATGGATATTTTAATTAATTAATACATTTTTTTATTTTATTTATTTATTTTTTTACAAATGTTAAATTTGGTATTGCAAATGTTATTGCAATTTTTTTTATCAGACAAATCATAATTCATCCAAATCGTACAGGCCTACCCATATGACTCTTTTCTTCCGCAGATCACATGGAGAAAGTTTGCATCATGTCAGAGTTGGTTTGGAATGCCATGAGGGTGAGTAAATAATGACAATTGTCATTTTTGAGTGTGCTGTCCCTTTAACCACACACACAAACAGGTATTGTTACACACACACACAAACTGTCCACACAGTCCTTAGGATTGAAAACACATTTGCACTCCCATTAGCTTTAAATCTGACAGCCCCCTTCCCCACCATATCGACAGACAGTTTCCCCCCCTCGAGACCCTTTTGCCTAATGCTCAGACATGTCTCATATGTATCTTTGCATTATCAGGGTTATGGAGGTGTGAGAGTGCTTGAACGTGGCCCTCCCATTTTCCGTTTTGTCGTACCTAACCCAACCTCCCCATAGCACTCCGGTATGAAGTAATGGGATGCTATTGAAGACGCCGCCTTTGATGTCTGGAAGCAGATGGCCAGAGGAGGAGAGCTGCGTGCTGACAGGTATCTCTCTCGTCATATCTGAAGTCCAGAGGGGATGTGAAGCTCTGCGAGACACACGCTGAAAGAGACTGCGCTGATTGTTCTGGCAAGTGTTTTGACTCCTCACCTCACTTCATCTGAAATTAAACCCTGCCAACGAGACATTTAGATGCTGATGTTAGCCAAATTAGCCTCCTACAGATACTGGCGCTCATATATGGCCTTTCTGCTGATTATAATTTCCCCCACTGCCTTCACTCACGTATGCCCATTTGTCACGGATTTGCTTCTTGTATGGTTTGGCATTCTCATCCAAGAGTTTCCTTGGGTCTTAAATAAAAAGTTTCTTCCACAACAAGCCCACAAAACTGTCTAGAAGTAACCTAGATGTTCTTACTTTACTCAGTAGGCCACTTTCGTGGTTAAGAAACCTCACTTGAACATGAATTCCCAAATATGGAACCTTAAAATGCTTTTCTGCATATATATGTATATATATATATATATATATATATATATATACTGATAAAGGCTAAGTCCTATGTGAATGTGAAGAATGTGCTGTGCTATAAGTGGTAAACTATGTACTTCGGAGTATGAAATAAGCCAGAATGGCAATATCAAGGCAAATTGGCTGTATTTCAAATGGAATATTAGCACACTGCACACAGTATGGTGACTTTCTGTATGCATGTTATATATAATAATGTAATACCATAATACAGATGACCTTGACTTTCTAATCATTTTGTTATTTATATATATATATATATATAATCAAATTTTTATTTAATTGCGCCTAACATAAACATTTATAATTATAAATATATA